CAGGAACATCAAGAAATCTCATTGTGAGCTTGTTGTCTAAAGGAATGTCTAGCCTGGCTTTTGCCTAGAAACATCATTCCAAGTCACTAGAGCCAGAATGTGAATATTTCCATTCTACAACTGTACTAAAAGTCATTGTGACACAGTACCTTTTCCTTTCATTGTTTGTTTAATACTGAGTGTTTTTAGGTTCACTTTCCTACCACTAATAGTATTTGTCTTTATGACATGAAATAGATCATCTATGAATAGTACCATTATTCACTTATGTGTCTCCATCAGTTGTCCCAGAAATATGCATAATAAAATAAATGTCACTATTAATACCAAAAGCAAGCTTACTTTATATTTAACATATTTATAGTAACATAAATGAATATGAGTGTCTATATTTCCATGCTATCTTCTCCAGTTTTATATTATTAACTTCTGGGAAGAAAATATTTAACTTTGGGGGCTTGAGAGATGGTTCAGAGGTTAAGAACACTGGCTGTTCTTGCAAAAGACCTGGGTTCAAATCCCAGCACCCACATGGCAGCTAACAACTGTCCGTAACTCCAGTTCCAGGGGATCCGATAGTCTCTTCTGTCATCTGCGGGCATTGCATGACACAGGTCTTCTTACCTACATGCAGGCAATACACGCAAAAATTGCTATCTTGTTCATTCCTTTTTCTTTACTTTTTAAACACTGGTTTTCCTCATGGCAATTAATATCTAAAATCAGAAGTTCAGTAAATTTGTTTTAAATTTGAAAGAAAGAAAGCAGTATATGTATTCATATTTTGTTCTTGGAATAAATTTTTTTTCAACCATCTTTCTCTTAATTATCATTTTGGTAGTGATAGCTCTTTTGTTTCTTCAACTGTTACTTGTATTTGGTAGCTTTCACCATAAAGAGGCTCTTTTTGGTACATTAAGCAAATATTGCAACAAAAAGAAAAGACTAGAAGAAACCAAATATAGTATCAATAATACCAAATAAATTTAAGATTTGAAGTAAAATGTGATGCTATCAAATTCTGTAGAAGTGTGGTAAAACCACACAGAAATTTTTGTTCTTGTGTGGTTGTTACTACCGTTCTTGAGGCAAAAGACATGGAATTCAAAGATTCTATGGAACACAGGTAGAGGATGTGGTCCTAACCTTATGGACAAAGCCTCCTATGTTCTACTGTTTTTGAGCTGGTGTGGGGTGGATTGTTATCCTCCTAGAGGACAGGAGCAGAGTGCCAGTATATATTTCAGGGTACGAGCTCTCAAGGGCAGGGTTTCCATATGTGCTATAGTACTCTCTCCCATTTCCCTTTTCTCCCTTCCATAAGTATAATCATTTCTGACCAAAGGCTAACAGTTGTGTTACCATGATGATAGTGATAACGTCATATTTTTATATACTATGTTATTTGAATGAGAAAATTATTAGTTATGAGTGAATTAACTCTGTCTACTTAAATTCTTAAAATTCCTAAGGCTCTGGGGTTTGTTTGTTTGCTTTTGTATTATTTTTATTTTCTGTATATGAATGTACTACCTGCATGTAAATAAGAGCACCCATGCCATGCATACCCACAGAGGTCAGAAGAGGGTGTCGAATCCCCTGGAACTGGACAGTTGTTAGCCACCATGTGGGTGCTGGAAATCAAACCTGGGTCCTCTACAAGAGCAGCCAGTGCTCTTAACCACTGAGACATCTCTCCAGCCCCTGTGTGCTTGCTTTCAGTAGTGCATATTTATTGTAAATCCATTTCAGTTTGCAAAAACAGCTATCTTTCAGGTATATTGTGTATTTTGAGCATACTACCTATCTCTCTGTCTTACTTTTCTAACACATCTCCTTCCCTTTTCCTACTAGTCTACTTCCATTCCCCAGTCTCCTACACACACACACACACACACACACACACACACACACACAATTTTATGTGTACTCAGAAAGGTCTAGATTTCACAGATGAGAACAAATAAAAATACATGATATTTTGTCTTTTTGTGTCTGTATTATCTCATTTAATATGATAATTTCCAGTTGCATCCCACTTCCAGCAAATGACATAGTTTTACTCTTCTGTATGGGTGAACAAAGCTCTCCTAGGTATATATCCCACATTTTCTTTCTTTCATTCATGTATTGAAAGATATTTAGGCTGATTCCATAACTTGACTACTCTGAACAGTGCTGCAATATACAGAGATGTGCAAGTATCTCTGTGATATGTTGACTCACAGTGTTTTGTATATACTGAGGGGTTGTATAATGGCTTCTATGGTAATTCTGTTTTTTTTAACTTCTGTATTGATTTACAAAGTGACTTGAATCTGTTTTGAACCTACAGTTTCTATATCCTTTTCAGAGCACACATTATCATTTATAGTTAATTTAGTAAACTGATGAAGATTAAAATTTATGAACCTTTAAGGTAACTTGACAGAACAAAATTTTACTAATTTATTTTTTATCATTGAAAGCATTTTGGAAACTTAGAGAAATTTCAGGTCATTTATTCCATGTGGAATGCTTATTTGGCTGAAAATGCAATATTTTCACTTTTAGGTTTTCACTTCCAGTTACTGCAACAGCAGAAAATTGCATTCTTACAATTTATCTATACTTGGCAGTTCATCTGGAAAAGCAAAAAGTTATTTTAAAGGATGGTAAGTTACATGCAACTGATTTCATCCTTTCTTTGTGCAGATTGTTGCTAACTAAGTGCATCGTCTAAAATATGCTGAATTTAAAATTAATAACAAGGCATGTAGCTCAGTGGTGGAGCATTTACCTAACATGTACAAGGTGCTGGTTTGATAACCAACATCAAAAAAAAATAAATTTAGTAGATGTTTGTTCAATATTTCCCATTTCCAAGAGCTATGTTTGTTACTGCTTGTAGAATCTGACAATGACTTTAACAGTCGGCAGCATAGCCAAAGATACATAAATAGAAGATTGAGTTACATTTATATGCATATATATGAATCAATTGAAGTACTGAAGTATTAGACTTGTAAACTGGTGCAGAGTTTATACTTAAAGCTGTCATTTTGTGGTGACCTTATAGAAATAATTATATTTGTGTAGACCTTGCTGAGTGATAATGTTTGACAGGATGGTTTGGGTAAATCACAATGTAGCAAACGCCTGGGAATGTGGTGGGGGACAAAGCAGGAGATGGAAGTGCAAGGCCATCCAGTTGATCCTTCTATTTTATAAAGTTGGGAAAATAATTGTTTTTAATATCAGTGATTTAAAAAGGGGACAATTGTTGGGTCTAAGATGAATTAAGGTAAGACAGAAAGTTATCAGTAGACTAATTTGGAAATGTTGTATGGAAAGTTGTGGTGCAAGTCAGGATACATAACTACATTTACACAGCAGAAAATAATTTTAAGAAATCTATTTTATACAAAGTTAATGATGGCATGCTGTGTTATTAAAAAAGGTAAAGAGTATAGGTATTCTCTGATCTCCCCCAACATTGTTGAATAGGGGACAGAATTTTTTAATTTGTTAGATTTAAATATTTCACAATGTATGTATCCTTCTGAACAACATGTTGTATGTAACAGCAGCATGCCCTTTCTCAGTCAAAAATCAAGTAATCTAAAAAGGAAAACAAAAGAACAAGAAAGAAGCAAAGGGCGATAGAAGAGAAGCAAGTGAACAGAGAAGAAAAGACATACCAGGAGAAAATGTCCTAGAGAAGAGAAAGAGAGCACATTGGGTAGACGTCTCACTGTTGTCAAGTATTTAAATTTTAATGCCGAATACAAGGATTTTTCCAATTATAACTACCAATTTTCATTCTTCAAATGATAATCACACCTATGAAAGCTACTTTGTCCTGTTTTTGTCCTTCTCAGAGAATGGTATATTCTGGATTTTCAGACTTTTCAGAGAAGAAGAAACAAAAGATAAAACAAACAAAAATAGACCATCACATAATAGCACTGATGTTTCAAATACTGGACCTGAATCAGAGCCTGTCTTCTCTCCTTTTATTCCAGTCACATGTCCAGAAGCCAGTCATCTCTTCTGGTTTAGGTTTATCCTTTACATGCATCTTACTACCCAGTGGCCAACTATACTAAATAACTTTTCCAGAAAGTTTCAATCTCCTTCTTAGCTGCTAGAGATGAATTTTCAGGAAGACAGCAAGAAGGAAATTATATTTTCTCAGGAAAATTCTAAAGAGCCAACAGGCAGATTTTTGGCCTATCCTTTCCAAATCTAGTAAACACCTTTTTCCAGAGGTTCCAGGAAACATAAAAGAGAAAAATAGATGATTAAGGTATTTCTACTCCAAAAAGAAAGAAATTTCAGGACTGAGCAAGAAGCAAGTCTTCACCACTGAGACCTGATAAAATTGTTGATTATTCACTGTGTCTCATTTCATTTTAAGAATCTCTCTGGGCCACCACATACCGTAGTTCCTGAAATCTCCCTCTCTCTGTAAATTTAAATAGTCTTTTAAATTATTCATGTCCTCTAAAAGTCTGACACTTTGCCTGACATGGTGGCGAATCTATGTGAGTTCAAGGCCAGCCTTGTCTACATAATGAGTTCCAGGTCAGCTGGGGCTACAGGCACCCTGTCTCAAAAAAGACAAAAAAATAAAAAATAAAAAGGGTCTGTTGTCTGACACTTAGTCTATTTTAAAATTCATGGTCCCAAAATCAGAGATTCAGAAATTCAGAATTAATTTCTCTTCTAGATACTTTTGATTGGATTTCCATAGGCACCCTAAAACGAGATGATGCAAACTATACTTACCTGTGTTAAGAGATATTAAATTTTTCTCTTTTAATTTCTCTGTATAAAACCTTTCCCCAGGGCCTAGAGAGAAGGCTTAGTGGTTAAGAGCACTGGATGCTCTTTTAGAGGACCTAGGTTTGATTCCCAGCACCCATATCATGGCTAACAACCTTCAATAACTCCCATATCAGGGGAATCTGATGCTCACTTCGGTCCCCAACTGGCATTGTATGACATGGGTACACTTACATGCATGCAGGCAATATACTCATATACATAAAATAAAAACATTTTTAAAAACTTTCCCCAATGGATATGGAGAGATTGCTTAGCTGTTAGGAGTGTTCTTCCAAAGGTCCCAAGTTGTGTTCCCAGCACCTACTTTGAATGCCTCACAACTGCCTGTAACTATAGCTCCAATTGATCCAACGCCCACTTCTGGCCTCAGCATGCATCTGTGCATACATACACAGACACAGACACGTACACATGAAATTAAAATAATAAATCTTTAAAATCCTTTTCATTGTGTGGTACATACCTTAATTCCAGCACTTTGAGACTGGATTGCAAGTTCAAGGCTATCTCCTTGATTGTGACAGGGGCTGAACTAATGAGGCCAATACCCCTTCTTGGGAATTTGTAGGGAGTTACTGATTGCTGGGAGAGGGTTTGACATTTTCTTCACTCCTGTAGCCACTGGCAATTGGCCAGTGCTCCTGTAAAAACCTCTCATTCACTTTCCTATTTTCCTGTGAATAACCCTAATTAAATTCATAGGATCAGAAAAAAAAACATGAAAATTGAAGGAAGACTGAGAAGAGGAACTTGATCAGCAGGGAGGGTGGGGGCAATGAAGAACAATTGGGGTGAATATTTAAAATGTCATAAGTGAAGCCCATTACTATGTATAATTAATTTATGTTAATGAACAAATTAAAAATAAATCTTTTGCATTGAATACCACTGCTAGTAGGATGAAGTCTACAAGGCCCCGTATAACCTAGTCTCAATTAATGGCTGAATTCTTGTTTGAAACATCATTTCTTCTGTGCTCCACCCATAATAGGCTATTATCTGTGTTTTTACTGATGGTCTCTTCGTGAGTGGAACATTTTCTCCCTTTGAAACTATGTATCTATACACTAAGGAAGGTTCCTGCACCTTCACCCAAGGGATTTTCATTTCTCTGCTGTACTTTCATAACTGTGAAATTCTCCTTACCTCATTTAGATATTGGTCTCTATAAGGATTTTGAGACAAGGTATCATTTCTCTTCTTTTCACTCTTCTATCCACAGTGTGCCACAGGTGTCTAGTAGCTAAAAGGTATCTATGGTATATTAAATAATGGATCATTTTAATTATAAAACACCAGGAAAGCATCTCATTTGTGTATTTCTTTTAAAATATATTTTATGTCAAATAGTTTATGCTACGCATAACAAAATCAATTTTTAAAGAAATGTATAGAATAATCCAGTTGCCATGATAATAGGAAGGGAGGGAGGGACGGAGGGAGAGGGAGGGAGGGAGGGAGGGGGAGAGAGAGAGAGAGAGAGGAGAGAGAGAGAGACATAAAAACACTCCCCGAGACACTGAGATCAATTGGGCATCTGTGGAAAATCCTGAACGGTTTTTCTCTAAAACTATTGTGAAGAAATTTAGTATATGGCAGCTTAGTTAGATTTGATGATCCCATTTAAGTAATGAGTTCAGGACCTCTGTTTTCTTTTTAGGGAAAACTTTTCTGAGATTTTGCATAACACGTCAGGTGTTTACTTAGTTGCTCAGGAATAGTCCTGCCAAACTTTCAAATTAGAATTTTTGAACTGAACATGTCTACTCACCTTACAGAATCAGATGATATATACACATATATATGGCTTTTGTAATATACATGTTCATATAAAGCTATTTATTCATATATATTGTAATGTTTGGTCTGACTTGGGTTAGACTGAAATTTTCCAGAGTTGCAAACTCTTAATGCATAACATCTCAAACTGTAATAGTGATTAAAATCTATGCAGAATGCTATCAGTTCATTAACAAGAAGTAATTTAATTTCAGAGAATCAACTAGGAAAAATGTTCTATTGTTGGTGAGCCTTATCTTACGTCTTATTTTGAACGCCATATATTATAATTCCAGTTGTTTGTTGTAGAAACATTTAAAATGTTTTACACATTTCTTGTTGATGCTAAAGTTGAATGCTGTTCGTTCATTGTCTAATACATTTTATACAATGTTTCCTTGTCAGATAAATTCCATTCAATTTATGAAACCATATCTCCGTTAATGAACTTTTTGTCAAATTATTTAATATATATTTAGTATTTAGATTTTATCTTTTGATATTTTATATAATTTATGAAGCACAGAATAACTTGATAGTTAATGCCACAAGTATTTATTTTACTCATTATGCTTTAATTTGTCATTTATAGATAAAGAAATGAAATATACGAATCCTAGAGGCAGTTTTATGATTCCCATGACTCCACGAAAGTATTCTAAATTGAAATCTTCATTTTCGATGAAAAGGGGATCCATTCTTTCTCAGTTTAATGAAGCTGATCTTACCCGTGGGAACCTATTTGTTGGTATGTGCAAAAGACATAGCATACTGACCAAATCTAGTCCTTACCCGATCTTAGTATTAAAAGTTAGGTGTTTCAAATAATAAGTTTAACAATTTGCCATACATTTAAGTGGGTCATCTTCTTTGTACCTTTTTTTCAATGATTAGTAATGGAAGTTTTACAAGTTTGCAGTACTCGTACTGCTTCTGTGCCGGTGCCATTCTGTATAGGCCAACCTGCATGGATTTATTAAATGGCTGAACACAAAACTTAGAGTATTTGTTTATGTACTATCCCCCACATGCTGTGTTTATATTTGTCTAAAAGGTTAAGTATTCCATGGATCTCCTGTAACTTTTCTGTAATTGAAAGTACACAGGTGGTGAGAGTAGAAGTATGAATTTTGCTCCGTTCTGTAGCAAGATCCAAGGTTGCCTGTCTTAGAAAGAGATAATAATAGGTAGCTATGTGAGTTTGGTACTATTTGCAATTAACTATTCAAATATTCCTTTCTCTAGATATGGGTTATGTGTTAAAAATGAATTTTTATTGACTCAGCCAACTTCAGTAGACTTAATCTGTGCATTTGTGTGATTACGTATAAAAATACCACACACTCATGCTATTTAAATTTGAGAAAATATCACACACTCATGCTATTTAAATTTTTCACAATTCAAAAATGCATTGGTTTATTCAAGTGCATTGTTCAGACAGAAAGTAACTTTGAATGCATAGTCTACATTTTGATTCTGAAGTTTATTTTTTGTGCAGTAAGCAAACTAAATAAATAGGAATATTTTTGTGTAATCTGCTGTCAAGACTGAAACATCACGATTTTCATTATTGAATAAATGCACTTTAAATTATTTTGAGAGTTTAGAAATAACTATATTATCATCATTTGCTTTAAAATACAGAAAACTCATTCAGAGTTTGAAAGTATAGACTTCTTAATTGAATAGATATTGTTTGCCTACATACAAATAGGAGTAATCAGCCAAATACTCTATGGTCAAGTAATAAGTTTTTGTTAACACATGTACATTTTAGGAATGGATATTTCACGTCATCATTTGGATTCAGATGATAGTCTTGCAGATAAAATAGATCTTGGATCCTTGGAAAAAGAAGAGAAGAACCAACAATTCTTTGCTCCTGAAGAAGGATCAAAGGCATATGACTATTTTCAGAAAGTTGTAAGTGCAGCTCAGACATGGTTCAGTCTCTTTGGCTGGCCTGAAGGGCCCCATTCATTTTCTATTCCAGAGACTATAAGAAGGTAAAATTTACATATTTCTCTAAAGTCTTTTAAAAAATATTTTATTTATTATTTTAATTTTATCTGTATGAGTGTGTTGGCTGCATGTATGTGAGTGCACCCGTGTCATGCAATGCCACAGAAATTAGAAGAGGGCTTTGGATTCCCCTGGAACTGGAGTTAAGGATGGTTCATAGCCTCCATGTGGGTGCTAGGAATTGAAACCCAATCCTCTGCAAGAGCAGTCAGTGCTTTTGAGCACTGAGCCATCTCTCTAGCCCCTTCTCTAAATTCTTTTACTTTGCTTTTTTCCTAAAATATAGTCTGTTTATTGGGATCATTTAAAATACAACACACATAATTTACTTTAAAGTGAAAATTTATTAGAAAAATTATAATATTAAGAAGATGCACATATAAATCCTTTGGTCCATATGTACTTTTTCAATAGAAATTAATAATGTTTAGTTTTTAAAATTAACTTACTAGTTTATATTAATAGTATAAAACAATGAATTTCATTATAACTTTTACATATATACTATACTATGATGTTACTCAGTTCCCTATTATTCCCTTGGACCCATCCCACTGCCCCCTTTACTTTAACTAAATAGTCTCTGTTCTACTTTTGTGTCGTTTTAAAATCTAGATTTTACTTATGATAGAAAGCACATGGGACTATTTTTATAATTCTGGCTTATATCTTTTTACATGATTATCTCCTGTTGCTTCCCACTTTCTTGCAAGCAAAATAATTTCATTCTTTAATTCTGTATGCAGTGTGTGTGTGTGTGTGTGTGTGTGTGTGTGTATCACATTTCCATTATTTGTTGATGGATACCTAGGCTGATTGTGTAATTTAGCTGTTGTGGATACTGTCACAGTAAGAACTGTAGTGTAGATACATTTAGTTTATGCTGAATTTGATTTCCTCTGAAAGATCAGCAAGTGCTTTTAACTGCTGATACATCTTTCCAGAAACCCAAATTAATAAATTATGAGAAATTAAATCAATTAAATAAAGGTCAAGGTAACAAGTGGGTGAAAGAAATAAATGATCATGATTATAGAAAAGAAGAAGTAGATGGAAAAGAGGGTAAGTAAAGTGCAATAAATAAAAAATATCTGATTAGGAAATTAAACTATTTACAAATATATTTTGATAAATGTAGGAACAGGAAGATAATTTAATACTATTTACATAAAGCATTAATAAAAACAATAGTAAATTACAATAAAGAGAATAGTAAAAGAAGTTAAAGATTACAGAAGATGTTTTTCTGGTACCTTTATTATTGGAATTCACCAGATATTAATTATAGCTAGGGTCTATTGTAGCCAGGATATGTGTCTCCCCTAGTGTATCCAGAGTGTTGGAAGATAGACAACAGAATATTGAGATTTGCACCATAGAGGAAGAAGAGTACTGGGGACTCGCCTTCCAGTTTTAGCTTTTCCAGAACCCAGTTGGAATCAAACCCATCTGGGGGATAAAGAAGTCCAGGAAAATATAGTGATCTACAGGAGCTGGGTTTAGAGCTCTGAGTCATACCTGACAGCAAACCACACATGGTAGGACACTACTTCCAGAGACCAAACAATCAGCCACCAATTCAATATAAATGCAAATAAAAAATGGACAATAATAATAGACCCACAAGGCCCCAGATAAAACAGCTATAAGATAGATTTTTAAATAACCTTTATATACTATGTTCAAAAGTGAGGATTTTATTATCAAGCAATAAATTATGTGAAAATTAACTAAATAGAAAATTTAGAAATGAAAATATACTAAATAAAATTGAGAAATCAATAAAATACTTTAACAGCAAATTCTGTTCCGTGTGGTAAGGAGCAAGCACAGCCACTTGTCGATTACTGATATTGGACCTGGGATGGCTCAGCCATTAAGAACACTGGAGTGCCTGGCAGAGGACCTGGGTTCAGTTTCCTGCACCCAGTTGGTGGCTAACAACCATCCCTAACTCCTGTTGCATAGGATCTAATGCCTTTGTCTGGCAATCACAGGTGTGGTTGGCTGTTAGCCTTGGTGTAGGTGCTGGGAATTGAACCCAGGTACTCTGCAAGATCACCCAGTGCTTTTAACTGCTGAGCCATCTCTCCAGCTTCACAATCTTTAGGAATTTTAAAATATTTAAATTATGCTAGAAGATAGTATCCAAATAAAGTATATTTTAGAATTTATTGTTTAGTTATTGATTTGGTTACTGAATATAAATTTTCATCAAATAATATTTTGAGAATGTTTTTCATTCAGCCATTTTTCCCATAGGGATGTGCAAAAAATGCAATTCTATTCATCGTCCTCACCACCCAAGAGATTTTCCAGACAGTTTGATTTTTCCAAATACAATAAGACAATTTATGATGTGGTGCTCCATTTGAGTGGAAGACTGCCTCCTGGAGTTAACTCAAACCAATCGTTACCTGTGGATAACACTGAACGGGTGATACAGCTTCATTCACAACATGCCTCACTTCTAGACTTTATCACGTAAGAGCAAGGATATTTTTGTCTAATCATTCAATAATGGATTACATAAGTATATTAATGGATGGATACATGGATGGATGAATGGATAGATTATGACTTTGAAATTATTATTATTATTTTTTTACACAGTGTAATACAGGGAACTATATACTAGTTAACTTAAGCATTCTATAGCCTTTACAAATATTTTATTTATTTTCATTTTCTGTGTATGAGTGTATTGTCTGCATGTATATAAGTGCATCCATGTCATGCAATGCCTGTGGAGGCCAGAAGAGAGCGTCGGATTCCCCTGTAAGTGGAGTTATGGAATGTTGTTAGGTGTGATGTGGATGCTGGGAATCAAACCTTGGTCCTCGGAGGAAGTAGTCAGTGATCCTAACCACTGAATCATCTCTCCAGTTCCTCTATGCCCTTTCTGGATATATACTCTAGTGCATTCCTAGTCAAACTTTATCATGGACCCAGATTCTTGGTAGGACCTGTTAGAACAACTTGCTTACCTTTACCCATAGAGGTTATGATGCTGCTTTGCAATGATGATAACTTGCAAGATGATAATAATACTTGTAACCCATGACCTTATTTTGAAAAATCTGATGTAAAGCACATATGTCATAAATCCAGTGAGTAAAAAATAATGAAACCAATAAAATTTATTCTCAGAGTACTGATAGTATCATTGTAGATTACAGATATTATAAACTTTTAGTTTTCATAATTAAAGTCATTAATATTAAAACAATTTCTGGTGTAAAGCTCTACAAGTGCTGATAAAATGCAGAGAAAATACTTGCCATTATAATGCCTGTATTATTCTGCAGATATTAATTAGTAAGTGGCCATAAAATGGAAAAACAGTGCTCACTAAAAGTCTGAGGGACGGATTGGTTAATTTATGCTGCTTGTAAAGTTTTACATTATAGTTTTAATATATTTGTGGTATATGTTAATCACTCTCTCTGTATATAATATGAATACAAATGAAATTATTGACCTATTTTTAAGTTTATAAGTTTGAAAATTTGAGCCCTTAGCAGTAATTTTCATTTAAAGTTGGTCACAATACTGAACAAAATATTTATTTTGTTTTCAATATCATAGTAGTCTAAACTGTCTTAATGTCCTTAAGCCTTGAAATGGAGCTAGACAATATCAAGTCATCTAAAGCAACTGAACCAAGATCCTAGAAATCTAGAAATTATTATAATGGGCTACTAAGAGGGACTCCCACTGTGGAGACAGAAGAGTGGCAAATGGCTAGCCCTTAACCTGCTCTATCAGTGACAAATATTTGAATAGCAGGAAGTAACTGAGTCAGTGATAGGGAGCTTCTTGATCCTTGGTGTGGCCAAGAGAAGAGATAATGTCTTCATTCTGAAAAGAGCATCATGTTCTTACTTGAGAAATGTGTTCCAGATGCAGAGGTGCAATGTCAAATAGTCCGAGAATCTATAAAAGCAGTCACATATTTATGCAGCCATTGAACTCATGAACTCATAACAGCTGGGGTTACTTGCATAAGACCTGCATATGATCAAGTCAGTCAACATTTCAGCATGGGTAGGGGAAGGGCTCAGAAAGCCCTGCTCGTAGCTGAGGAACTAATGGCAGTTGATGGCACTTGGGAGAGGGATGGTGAATTTTCTGTTATTTTTATTTTTTGAGTATTTCAATATGAATACTGTACTTACATCATTTCCACCTTTCCCACTCGTCCCACAAAAACACCATCCATGTGCCTCCTTCTTTTAAATTTCCTATCCTATTCTTTATTTATTATTACATATACTCTCTATCTCTCTATCTCTGTCTATCATCTATCTGTCTGTCTATCTATCTATCTATCTATCTATCTATCTATCTATCTATCTATCTGTCATCTAACATGGTGTCTATTTTGTGGTGTTCCTGTGTCCCTGTACTTAGGGCTGACCAGCAAGGGCTACTATGGAGCCGTTGTCTCAAAATATTTTTTAATTGTGGATTTGTTGTATATAGCTTTAGTTATACTGAGTTTTCTGAGGTATATTAATTCATAGCCTATTTCGTCTAGAACGTTTACTGTGAAAGTATGTTGGATATTTTTGGAAGATCTTGTCTGAATATTTTGTGATGATTATGAGATTTTTCTCTTTAAGTTCATTCATGATTTACTACATTTATTGACTTATGTATGTTGAATCATCCCATCATATCTAGAATAAAGCCAACTAGATTAGGGAACATGATCTATTGGATAAATGTCTGTAAATGATTTTCAAATATTTTATTGAGAAATTTTCATCCATGTTCATCAGGGATATTGGCCTGTAGTTTTCTTTTATTGTTGTGTCTTGGTTTTGATGTTATAGTGGATTCATAGAAGGAATTTGGGAATTCTCCTTTTTTTCTATCTTTTTGAGTAATTTAAGAAGTATTGGTTGTAGTACTTCTTAAGATCTGGTAAAATCGTCTGTTAATCTCTTTGGACCTGGTTTTCTTTTCAGTCATGAGGTTTTGGATTCTTATTTTAATCTTCTTATTTGCTATGGGTCTCTTTAAGTTGTTGGTCTCTTTTTGGTTTAACTTTGGTGGTTCTATTGAATTTGGAAATTGATTCCTTTTTTAAATTTTCCAATTTAATGGAGTGTAGAGTTTTAAAGTATCCACTTACAATGTTCTAGATTACTTTGGTGTCATGATTTTTTCCCTGTTCATCTTTGATATGTTAATTTCTATTTGTGTCTATTCTTTCTCTTGTTCAGTTGGGCTAAGAGTCTGTCAATATTTATATTTGCAAAGAAACAGCTCTTAGATTCATTGATTATTTGTATTGTTTTGTTTCTATTTCACTGACAAATCTGATTTTTATCACTTCTTGTCTATTTGGTTTGGGTTTAGTTTGTTCTTATTTTTCTATATTCTTGAGTTCTGTCATTAAGTCATTTGTTCATGCTTTTCTGATTGTTTAATGTAGTCATTTAGAAGCATGAATTCCCTCTTAGGACTGCTTTTAGTGTTTCTCAGAGGTTTTGTTGTGTTCTCATTTTCATTTAATTCCAGAACTATTTTTCTTTCTTGATTTCTCCTTTAATCCGTTCATTATTCAGTAGTTTGTTGCTTAATCTCCATCATTTCATGTAGTTACTAGAATTTCTTTTGCTATTGGTTGTAAGCTTCATTGCATAATGATCAAATAGGATACGTGAAATTATTTTAAATGTGTCTATTTCTTCAGGTTTATTTTGTGCACAAGTATGCAGTTTATTTTAAGGAAACATCAATGGACTACTGAGTAGAATGTAAATTCATTGGTGCTTGGGTAGAATCGTCTATAGATGCCTGTTAGAGCTGTTTGACATATGATATCATTTAATTCAGATGTCTCCCTCTTCTTTTTCCAGATGACCTGTCTGTTGGAAAAGTGGGACACTGAGGTTACTTACTATTAGTGAATTGGGATTAATCTGTCTTGAAGTTTGTTAGCACCCTTTTAATGAAACTGAGTGCATCAGATTTTGGTGGATATATGTTCATAATTGTTATTTATTCTTGACTGATTGTTACCTTGATCAGAATACAGTGACCTTTTTATCTCTTCTGATTAATTTTAGTTTGAAATCTATTCTGTCAGATATTAGGATAGCAACACTTGCTTCTTTCTTGTTTCCATTTACTTAGCACATTTTCATCCATCTTTTCACTCCAAGTATTGAGTTATTTAGAAAAGAAAATATGGTAAGAAGATGTGTTAAGGGAAGGATCAGAGGGAGAGAGAGAGAGAGAGAGAGAGAGAGAGAGAGAGAGAGAGAGAGAGGATCTGGTATTGGATATGATCAAGATACATTGCATACATGTATGATGGAATTGTTAAAGAATGAATGAAAGTAAGAAAAAAATCACAGTCCAATATGCAAATATAAATACAGGTGTCACTCTTGTCTCATTTAAGCCCAAATGCACAACAGATATATATTCTGAGAGGCCTGAAAACATTTTATTGCTGTCCTTTATAAAATAATGGTTCATTAAGAAACTAAAATTAGATATCTGGTTTTACATGGTCCTATGTATGAGAGTAAGACTAAAGGTAAAGTTGAATTTTTATTTGATGACAGTGAATCTTCATCTTCCCAGATGCCGTATTTTATTAGAACTGATGATAGGAGGTAGAGTGAATTTCTGAGTTTTTAACCACAACGAACTCAGAGTTTTTGAGGTTATATGACATTTAAAAGACACAAACGCACATGAAGGTGAAAGTTTTCGTTTTTTTCTCTATACTTGTAAGCTTGGTGGAGGTGACAGAATGGGAGGATTACATATAGTTTAGAAAATATCACAACTAGAGCTACATCAATAATTTTCAACTCCGCTATGCCTTTACGCACTGAATTATCCAATACTTTAAATTTCTATGCCGAATTGCTAATTCCAGTACTGGCAGCATGTGGAGAATTTATGTTAGTTAAATGAGGTCAGAAACCTTGCCTCAAAAAAGGGATAGGACTCATGTCCATAATTATAAGAGGAAGACATGTTTACTTTGTCTCTCTTGTCTCTGTTTTCTCCTCCTCTTTTTCCTGTTCCTCTCCACCCCTACTCTCGTCCTTCCAACTCCCTCTCCTGATGATAAAGAATCCATCCATCTACCAGCCAGATGCTTCTTTAAGCCACTCAGCCTGTTGTATGCTGTTATCGCAGATGAACACAGTGAATAATATTGTTGATAGAATTTCACTTGCTTGTGATCAGTATTCCTTTTAAGTTATTCATTTAATTTAAAATAATAAATTTTATAATATTTACATTCCCAAACTAAAGCAAAAGCAGAATATAATCTTCATGTTCCTTATTTTGTAACTACAAAAGTAAGAATCATAGGAAGTTAAAATTACTGTAACCTTATTTTTACATTTCATCAAGTTTAAAAAGAGATTTTAAAATAAACTAATACCTTTAACCAACATAATTCACATCCTTTTAAAGGATGTGAATTTTAAATTTAACTCCATTTTTACTTGCGTTGTTTTAAAATTTTTTGTGTGTCTGTGACCTATGCATGACTGTTATGGTATGCTATTTAGTAAGATTAATCTAAGAATGAAATTATTTCAAAACAAGAGACAATAAAGTGATTTTGTAAGAGGATTTGAGGGATTAGAGAGATGGTTCAACAGTAAGGAACACTTGTTGCTATTGCACAGGCCTAGATTCAGTTCCCAGCACCGACATGAAGGCTCACAACCATATATAACTCCAGTTGCAGTGGATCTAATGCTCTCTTCTGGTGTCTGCAGGCATTACACATGTATATGGTGTACATACACGCAAGCATTCACACAAATATAGAATGTAAAAATAAATCATTAACTGACTGTAGTGGCACCTGTCATTAATCCTAGCAGTTGGGAAGACAGGCAATCTCTGTGAGACTGAAGCCAGCCTGGTTACATTGCAAGTTCAGACCAACTAGGCCACATAGTGAAACCTTGCCTCTAAAAACTAAAATGATGATAGATAGATAGATAGATAGATAGATAGATAGATAGATAGAAGATAGGTAGATAGATACATAAATAGATAGATGATAGAGATGGATAGAGAGATAGGGAGGTAGAGAGAGAGATAGACAGATAGGTAATAGATAAATACTGTTCTGAACTAAGGTAAAAAGACATGGCATTTCAGTCAATCAAAGCATGCTCCTACTCGAGCTCATTATCTCTCCTGTGGCCTTCCAGTAATTATTCCATGTGCTTTAACTTGAAGTTCAGTATTTGTAAATGTGGAGAGTGAAAATTTCCAAATGTATTTGGCTAAAAAAAGAGTTGGAATAGTAAAATGTGTATTAATGATATGCAAGATTGTTATTCTTGTTAATTGTGTATAATTTTTCTAGTACAGTATGGTATAAGGAATTCCTGTGGTAAGGTGTTTTCTTAAATTACTCCAATATGGCCAGTAGTGGTAATGTATGTGTTTAATACCAGCACTTGGGAGGCAGAGGCAGGCGAATTTTTGTGAGTCTGAAGCCATCCTGATCTACATAGAGTTCCAGGCAAGGCAAGGTTACATATGAGACTCTGTCTCAAAAAGAAACAGATTGCTCCAATGTAATAAGCATTAGTGACATAGTGAAAACTGACTTTCTTGTTATTATAACCATCCAATTAGAGTAGTTTAAAAATTTGTTCTTTTAAAAGAAATGAAGCATTATGCTGATATAAAAACTATCAAAAAGGCAATATTTGTAGATTGTCTCTTCATGTTTTCAGACTAGGAACTTCAGTGGAATATTTATAATAGGAATTCTGCCTTTTAAAATTTACAGCTTCAGACCTTTGATATTGAAAAGGACTGACTTAGTAAGGTAAATCCATTAATTAAGTAAGGCAAAATGCAGAATACATTTGTTTCAAAGATTTCACTTATATAACATAAAGCAATATTCTGTGGGATCAAAAGAAGTTTGAAATACTTGACTCCATGACCCTTGTGATGATTGTGCTGTTCTAGCTAGCATATTTGTTCACATATGGACCAGCAGTATTGACATTAACATGGGTTATTTCTATTTTTGTATTTTAAGATACAAGCATTGCAAGTGTGGAATAATGACTTTGGCATTAAAGTCAAGCCATTCAGATTTATTTGTTCTTTATCAGCAAATACATGCCTAGCGGGATGTGTTGACTGTGGTAAAAATTACATAACATTTAGAAAGTGGCAGCATGGTTAATAAAATTGTGTCATTAATCCAAGATATGTGCATATGTTTCATCATGAAAATAAATGTATTAAAATTCAAAATAGTTGTAAGTGCTATTAACTTTTCCTCTTAACATTGATAACACAGCAGGGAGGACTTTTGCATAACCGAGCTATCTACTTTGTGGTTAAATAAATTCTTCTTGAGAGATTGAGTTAGAGTTTTTAAGAACGCTACTCTATGAAGACAGTTTAGAACTGAATAGCTTTCTGATTTATATTTTGCATTGTGAACTTAACAGAAATAGTTCAACAGTAAGACTTGTACATAAAGTGTAACAAATGTATCAGCAAAGACAATTCTCTATAAAAGTACAAAGTAGTTATAAAATTTATCGACAAGGCCTAAATATAAGTATTATATATGTATGTATTAAGCCTTGAAAATATTAAAAATTTAAAAAAAACAAAGAAATATGGATAGCAGAGTCAAGAAGTACATACACCATGTTCAACTTTTGCACAGTTCTACTCTAGTAGGCATTAGAATATTCATAAGAAAGGCATTATCATTGTTGTTGAGAACCTCCCATTTTATCTGTACTCTGTTCATTAGGCTTTCCGTAAACGTTCTCAGAAGTGAACACGTGAAATCATGTATTGGCTTTGATTACAAGGAAGTATTTCGGCTGTTTCAAACTGCTTCACAGAATTTCAACTTAATAGGAATATTAACTTATTTCAGTTTTTTGGTGGCTTTCATTCTTTCTTTTTTATTTTTAATTAATTAATTCATTTACTTATGTTTTTTAGAAGAAGCATTAAATTACAGCTTTAACATATTCAGTAACAATTTCCAGAGCAAGGATACATCTCTTTCAAAACTGGCTGTAAATTTTTAGGTTCACAGTTGAATTAATATGGTTATACAATATTCAGCTCAGTATAAACCCCAGGGAAGGTGCTGACACCAGGACACTGGAGGCTGTGCAGCCCAGGAAGCAAAAGGAGGTGAGGGCGGGACCAGGCCCAGAGGGCTCCTGACGCTGCTACTAACATTAAGATGTTTGTACATGTGTCTTTCATCTCTATGTATCTGATTATTACTAGTCCCAGTAGGTTACACTCAGATCCTTAGTACCTGATTATGGATATAAAGTCATCAGGTAGATTTCAATGGTAATGTGTATCACCTCTACTAATTAACATGAAGGAAATTTTTATGCTTCCCCCTCAAACATGTCTTTTTTAAAAATTTGTTGATTTTTTGTGTATGTATATCATACAGAACATCCCACACAATCTTATTCATCTATATACCCACTTCCCAAATGGCACCCTCACATAGCCTCCCCGCTCCCACACACTGGAGCCCATATGCTTTGTCATCCCTGTTACTGTCCACTGTGCTGTTGGTGCCCCCAGCCATTCCCACGGGCTGTGATACATTAAAATAAACATTTGTGGAAGACTATAGTGATTTAAATAAGGTGATAATACTTATGTGTAACATACATAAGATAAGAATTGTCTGAAAATCAGAGAATGGAAGGTGTTTGACTTTTATTCCTTGTGCTAGCTTACCTAGTTAAGGACCACATCGAAATGAACAGCTCCAGAAATGTGCTCTCTGCTTCTACCCACGCAAGTCCTCTTCTTCAAATTTTTATTATCATTCTGTAGTGTGATCTTCAAGGTTTGGGATTTCAGTGTTGTCGTGAACCTCATTTCTTCTCCTCACGTTTCGCTAATCATAGGACTAAAGTGCTGAAGGGGTACCCTGGGTTGAGCACTAGTTGCAGTAGTCTTTGTTACATGCTGTACTTATGCAATCCTGTTCTGTGCTCACTGAATGGGGTGGACCCAATCACACAAATTCCCACTTGTCAACATTTCTAACAAAATAGTCTAGATTTTTGAATACTGGCTCTTGTCAGTAATGAATATCCATGAAGCAGGCTGGATAAAATTATTTTTTTAAAGTTGACAGTGAAATAGTGTGGTGTATATATGTGTGTGTAAATTACATTTAAATTCATATCTTTTATAAGTATTATATAATGTAACTGTATATGTACTCCTTCATATGTAGTATCAAAAGTTTACACAATAAATTTTACACAATTTTGAATGTTCCATTTGAAAAAAACCATGTGATGGATAGATGATATTTGAAGTTATTTATATTTAGGCATAGGGGTGATAAGTATTTCATTAGTATCAGATGATTAAAAAGAGCCTTTGGATTAATTTTTTGTGTTTAAACATTTTCTAATTCTTTTGAACTTTTGAATTTTGTAATAACACAATACTGCCACTATATATTTGATTAATATATAAGAGTAGATATGTGTCATTATAGAAACCTAGTAATTTCTCATTACTCAGAATTTCTAAAGACAATCTCATTTACAATTTTATTATTAACAGGAGATTTTTAATTAATTGTATAAACTTTAAACATATATTTCAAAAAATATATAGTGTGATATTATTGCAATAATTTAATTGAAAGTCATTACAAGTGTGTAATCTACTACAATTTTGCTTTGATTTTTAGTGCTCAAGGTGGATGCATTTCTCATGTACTGCCAGAATTTTTGCTTGAACCAGAGGATTACAAGAAGTGGCTTGAAATTACAGTAAGATAATTTCTAGGGATAATCTATAGAGTTACTAAGATCGCTAATATGTGGTACTTTTTAAGTGATCCCAGTTTGGAGATTTTGACATTTATGTATGAAACATGCTAAGGTTTAAGCCTCTTTCAGCAGCTAGTATTTATGTGTATGTGTGTGTTTGGTGGAGGGTTGGACATTAAGCTAATAATTTATAAAATTCATGTGCAAATACAGTCCCATGGATTGCTTCTTTTCTTTTTTTAATTCCTTCCTTCCTTTAACTCTCGTCCTTTTTGTAGGTTTATGCATGTGTGACATGCATGAATTTGTGTAATTATGTTATGTGTGTATGAACACAAAGTGTGTGTGTGCACGCAAAAGTTTGTGGTCTGCATGCAGGTGGATGCCAGAGATTGATATCAAGTCTCTACTTTGATCAGAATCCAAATTGTATATTGAGGCAGGATCTTTCACTCGAATCCAGAACTTGTTAAATCTGCTAATCTAGCTAGGAAGATTGTTCAGAGGATCCCCTGTGTCTGCCTTCTGAGCACTAATATTTCAAGCAGGGTGCCACAACTGCCCAGTGTTTATATGGGGGCTGAGAATTCAACCTTCACGTACTTGTGAAGTAATTTTAGTATAATTTTCTTCTTAAAAATAAAATTTAAGAATATTCTTTTTCTAAAGGAATAGTATTTAATTTTCACAGCTTCTTGCCACTTCCATTTTTGTGAGCATATGAGCGAATAGAGAAAAATTCAACAATAAATGCACAGTTTTTTTCCAGAGTATACAGTTGGCTTTACGAAAACCTATGGCTAATGGGAATTATTTTCAAGATAAGTAGATTTTAGTTGTGGCAGTGAACTCACCATGTGGCATGCAAAAATAAGTCCGTTGTCTATTCTGTGACCTTACACTGAATTCCTGTGAAATAATCCCAAGAGTGTGGTGTGGTGTCATCTGAATCCAAAGGTCAGGGGAACTTTGCATGTTGTTCTGTATCTTCTACTAAGATAGTACAATAATAGATGTGTAGAGTGAACAAATCCATGTCATATGTAAGAGTTTTATCCAGAAATTCTGTGTGGAGTTACCACTATTTCACAGGGATAAATAGACCTCTTGAGGAATGTATAAAAAAAAGTACAAACTTTTTTTAAAACTGAAAAAAAGAAATAATATATATTAAACTAATATTTGGTTTGCATTTTAATCTGTGCTGCGGTGTTTAATTTTTTAAAGAATTCCATTGACCCCACGGCTCTCTGTACATCTAAGGACAAGTGTTATATTACTATAGACATGGATAATTTTGAAGCCTGGAGTAAACGGGCATGGACAGATGTGTTTCTACAGATATACAAGGTAATACTTCCAGTCTTGTTTGCTGTTCTTTTTATGGTTTATTCACATGATTAGTGGAATACTTCAAGAGTAGGTAATGTTGGTATAAAGATTTTAGAACGTAGTCACTTAAAGAAGCTAGATTCATTGTTTTTTACTTTTGTGTGAAAATATTGGGAACTGAATGATTTCAGAGATACAACTTATGTCTTCTGTCCTTGGTATTAGACTTTCACCTGTGCAATAGCCTTTCTTAGAAAACATATTTCCCCTAAAATAAGTTCAAATATCTCTATTATTGTTATATTAAATAATAGAGTAACTGTATTTGTTGCTTCAAGTGAATGAAACACCAAACATAGAGACGCTATCCAGAACTGCAGTTGCATGACCTAATAAGTTTTGCAATCCTGTAATTCTGGATAGTGTCTGTATATTTGGATTACTTTGTAGTTTTAATAAAGTTTTTCTTTCCTCATTCTGTTGACTTATGGTTATTACCTCTCTTTTCCTTACTGTTTCCAATGTAACTGCTTATACTATCAGTAGTTGATTTTCCTATTGTACTTCTCTGGTCTAAAAAAGTGGACATTCATATTTATTGAAATTTTTTGTAAAATAAAACCAGACACCAAGTTTAAGAGTGTAAGCAAAATTTTATATATTTGGAAGAAGAAAGTTAACTTATGGATGTTGAGATGCCAAGGGTTATAGCTCAGAAGATTTACTTAACTAATAATTATGTATTGGAGTTATGTGTTATAATCTTACTTAGTATCTATTTTTCTTATGCCATTTTTTTCTACTTAGTTGAGATGCAGATGAATTGATACTTCAGGTAGTACTTTGTTACTTATCTTTATTGAAATACAGTATGCGTCTATTATATATATATATTCTTATTGCAAATTTACCCAGCCATATTTGAAGGTGTAAATATACTTTAAGTCCTTCAAATTTTTCTCATACAATATATGTATACATATTTTATTGAATTTTTGTGCATTTCATACAATACATCTTAATCGTATTTGGACCTCCTCCCCTATCTGCACTCCTCTGTTGCCTACCCCATCACATTTCATGCCTTCTGTCATATATGTTAAGGCTTATGAACTCAAGTTTGTGTTCCCAGATGTCCCTTGGTGTGAATTCATTCACTGGAGACTGGTCAGCCTATCTCGCATCACTTCCCTAAAGGAGATCAACTCTCCCTCCCCCAGCAGTGATCAGTTGCTAATAGTTCCTCAGCTATCATTGGGGCTTCTTACCCATATTTCCAGTTTGATGCTGTTTAATTTTCTGGTTTGAGTGTGCAAGGGTTATTTGCATGCTGTAATTATTGCTGTAAATTCATTTAAGCAAGTTCTCAAATATCTGGAAAACTCTGATTCCTTGTGGTCATCCACCATCTCTGGCTTTTACACCATTTACACCCCTTCTTCCACAATGATCCCTGAGCTCTTGATGGCAAAGATTTAGCATAGGAGTCCTATCCAGAGAGATACACTCTGTAGTCTCTTATTCTCTACATTTTGGCCGGATGTAGCTTCCTGTGTTAATCACCCTCTGTTGTATAAGGAAGCTTCGCTGGTGAGAATTGAAAGATTCATCAATATTCTCTCTGCCTCCTGTTCTGCTATGTTCCATGAGCCTTAGGTGTAGAGGTTGCATTTTAGGTGTGTCACTTAGGGCTGGACATTTCACACTTACTCTCTGCATTTAACCAATTGTGGAACTCTGTAATAGTCTCCATCTGTTGTAAAAAGAAGCTTCTTTGATAAGTGGTGAGAGTTATACTTTTCTGTAGATAAATATGGTAACAAATTACACTTTTGTAGGGATGTGACAGACATAAGTTTTTCTCTAAAATATGTGACCTCTCCACCCATGTGTATTTGTCTATGTTTACAGTACCACACATGAATTCCTTCCAATTAACTGGATTTTAAATCCAATTAGGTCGCTGTTGATTACTCCCAAGATAAAAATGCCAGGCGGATCTCTGTGAGTTCAAGGCCAGCCTGGTCCACATAGTGAGTTCCAGGACAGCTGGGGCTACAGGGAGACCCTGTCTCAAAAAGAACAAAAAAAAATAGTGCCACCATTCCACCAAGAGTAATGGTTATGAATTTAGGCCTTAAAGCTGGGGTTGAACCACTGATTGATTTTTCTCCCTTAGCAACTAGCAAAGTATGCTCTGTTACTATGAGAGCTTGTCTTCAGAGAGGAGGCTTCCACATTATTTCCAGCTCCATTGTTCCAAGTCCTGTGTCTAAGTATGCCCTAAGTTCAGCAATAGGGTCTTCCTTCAAGTTCTGTACTCAGGTAATTCATCATTTTCTGTTCCCCAGAAAGGGGTACAATTCCATTTCAAAGACTTTTAGTTGTATTTTAAAGTATAAGACATTTGAGACTTAGGAATTTTAGATCCAGTATCAGCCATTATAAAGCAATTTCTATTACATTTCTATCAAAGAAATGCTAAAATAATGCATATTATGTTTTGATTGTTGGTCTCACTATACATAGATCAGATCAAAAATTCACATTCAACACAATCTATTTAATGAGATGCTTAAAATAGTTCCCATATTAGTTAAGAGC